CTTCGACTACAGGTTTATAATTTATAACTGAACGCCGCTATCTACAATATACCTATCCACCTGTACTCGCTAAATAACTCTCTAGGGAAGGAAAACGCGAAAAAAATTGTGGCAAACACCCTGAATGAAGACCTGGTAGCCTCTCTGCACGAGTGATAATTTCTCCGCGTCATTCACTACTAATGCCATCGAACAACGAAAAAAAAAACGAAAAACGTGGTGAAAAAAGGAAATGACCTTCGAGTTTCGGTGGACGGGACAACTGGAGAGGCCTTAGAAATGCCACTGAGGACCACAGCGCCTTCATTAGTTACTGCGAAGCCGCGGAAGTAGGATAATCTTGTAGATTCAAGGTCAGACTACTTGTACCAGGAAACAACCTTTCAAATATGACGAACTGATCATATAATCGCTGCTTTTCTCCTTGACGAGTTTTCGATTGGCAGTACTCCTCTTGTGTCTTTTGACGCTCAGACGCTATAATTATCCATCTGCGCGCTTCCTTTTGCTGCGAGTCCCTGAAAAGTGCCAAAAAGTTACGTTACCAAGGCAAGAGGTCAGACGATCACAGACCGTGGAGAAATTCAGCAGTTTATCGCTTCAGGACCTTTGCGCAAGCTATGACGGTACTGTTCGATCGTCTGTTGGTGATATTGTGGAGTTCATATTCGGGGAAGATGGCTTGGGTAGGTTTTAGTTACGATGTCGATTGAAGACGTGGACTACTGCAGACCGTCAGCCTGTTTTTAGACCCGGCCTTGATGGAAGCAAAGAATGGGTCGGTGCTGGATTTTGCTCATCAGCTTGAACACGTTCGGAACACCCATCCCTTCAACGGCGATGAAGAGTTGGACAGGAATGATATGGAGGTTTGTGAGACCACATTAAGGGAGTAGGATAATTTGGAACTCGATCTAAAATGCTAGTGGCGCTGTATAGTGGGGAAAATGGCGAAAAAAAACGAAGTGAAACGGTCAAAAACCTGCGAAGAAAAGCCTTCGTTCTAATGACTCAAAAAGCAATTTCGGACGAGTTTCCCGTAGGCATCTTGCCAATAACCGCTACGGTAGATACGGCTGCATTATGTACTCATATATCCATGCAGCACCGCGGCCGCTTCATGCCAATCCCTTCGCTTCTTATTTTACTTAGAAGTGGGGAAAAAATATAGGTCTCAAACGCCCTACAAGGACCCAGTTGTCCTTTATAGGGCGTTTCAGACTTATATTAAACCCCTGCTGGAATACAGAACAGTGGTCTTCAATCCATACAAAGCTTGAGTTGTTAAATTGTTGGAAAGCATTC